ACCGAGGCTGCCAAGTGTGGCCCACGAGGATTCGCAGACTCAGAGAATGGTTTGGGTTGGAAGAGACCTTAAAGATCATCTAGTTCTAACCCCCCTTCATGGGTAGGGACACCTCCCCCTAAACCAGGTTGCTCAAAGCCCCATCCAACCTGACCTTGTCCTGTTCCAGGTATGGAGGCATCTGCAACTTCTCTGGGCAGCCTGTTCCAGCTTCTCACCACCCTCACAGTGAAGAATTTCCTCCTAACATCTGATCTAAATCACCCCTCTTCCAGCTTCACTACATTACCCCTTTTCCTGTCACTACAGACCTTTGTAAAAAATCACTCCCCAACTTTCCTGTAGGCCCCCTTCTGCTCACCCCTGCCTCCTGAGTTGGCTTTGAGAAAGGATTTCTGGAGGAGCAGGATGGGTCATAATCATAGTGAAAGCCACACAAAGCAGGCAGCTGCCAATGGCAGCAGCTGCTCTTGGCATTAGCTGTTCTACCAGGGAAAGCTGAGTGTGTTGCTGTGGCTGCTGCTCCAGGTGCAGAGGGCAGGAGCTGGGAGGCAAAAACAACTGAAATCACCAGGCTTGTTTGTTCTGCCAGCCACTGAGAGCAGTGGCCAAGAGCCGAGCTCTGGGATGGCAGAGTTCTGTTCTGCCCACGCAGCCAGGGAAGTTTGAGGCAGCGCCGTGTAAGAGCTGCTGGCTCAAGGCAGGTCAGCTTTTATAACAGCAACATGTGCAGGTGGTTTCATCTGTAGAAACCTCAGCTGCTTCCAACCTGCCTCTGCCAAGACAGCTTTGTGCCAGGAGACTGACAAAATTGATCAGAACACTGAATATACCTTGTGGTCTCAAAAATATATGCCAGTGAGTGGGACTTGCATTAAAGTTCAGTTTCTTGAACTACAAGTTTATACTGCAGGGGAGAGTGTGAGCCGAAAAGCGATTTGATACCGTGTCAGGCCACAAAATTCTGCTCCACGTCAAAACAACAAAGCCACAAGAAGCACACAAGGGGCAAAGGATGCTGCAGGAGTGCTGTCTTTCCCTTGGAAACACACCAGACTGTCCCTTGGCTCTTCACTCCTGAGCTTTTTTCAGCGGGGGGAGAGGGCCGGGTGAAGGTCACAGAGATGCTCTGACGGCTCAAGTTGAGGTAGGAAGTGGGGGCAGAGTTTTGAGGGAGGTGCAAGGGAGCCTTTTCCCTCCACGAGGGAGCACAAGGCCCCCCTGGCATTTCTAGAGGAAGCCACAATGGTGCCCAGTAGCAGGGAGGGCAGAGCTCAACCCTGTCTGGGTGCTGTGCCAGGACTGGACCTCCTGGTGCAGCCAAATCCTTCCCCTCTCATATTGGCTCACAGCCCTGCAGACTCAGATGTTCCTATGGTCTGTGCCATCCTGTGTAGCATCTGTTGCACAATCAGAAAGAAGAAATAGAGCTTCGAATAGGAGGCACCAACCAAGATCTGACAATCTTGATGCTGGAGCCAGATACGATTGCGTGCTTTGCCACCTATCTCCCAGTGTCTGCTGGGTGCTGTGAGCAACCACAGGCTGGCAGGACAGCCTGCACCACCATCTATCTCTAGCATCTGCTGGGACTGTAGCCAGCACACAGAAGCCTGCAGCTCAACACGAGTGTTAGAGCTTCACTTTTGCTTCACAGTAGCCCCAGCAGAGAGGGACAGTGAAGTGCTAAAGGGCAGCTCTGGACACCCAATGCGAGCCTTGATATGTCTTCATGTCTGGTTCAAATCCCTTTAACCTCTGCTCAGGTAGATGTGCTCAGTGTGTAGAGGTTTTTCTGCTTTGCAGTAGATGCAATGCCTTTGTTTGTTCCATGAATTTACACACGCATAAATCAAATGACATTTCTTACTGCATGGATTCCAATTTGTGTTCTACAGCATCTGATTACAGGAGAAAAAAAATCACATATTATTCCTTCCTAGATTATTTCTTTCCCCTGAAAGCACTATTCCTTTTCTGCAGTTAGTTTTCACTTAGATTGCTCCGGGAGGAACTCCGTTCCCACAGAAGTGAAAGGAATCTTTGCCACCGACTTAAAGGAATCTGAAACCAGCCCTTGGAAACATGCTCCATACAAATTTTGAAATTACTTTATGAAGAATGTCCTCCCAAAGCTAGGAAATGTTTCTGTCAAGCAATGAGGTGTGTAGGCAGGCAGGCCCCAGGAGCCACTCTGAGAGAGCCAGGGGGTCCATCAGCTGCAGGTCTCGCCCTGAGGGGGCACTGAGCCCTCCCAGCAGGATGAGGGGGCTTGAGCTCTCCTGGCTCACAGCCTTCAGGCCCCACACACAAAGGGCCACTTCCACTGCACTTGATTAAATGTCAGCACAGCAGATCCCTGTGGGGTCTGAAGGCAAGAGATAGCATGTTAGAAGGAAATAGTTTTTTTCATTTTGTGATTCACATTATTGCTTTTTATTTGAAACATTGAAGACAGACAAAATCCCCATTTTAGAGTCAGCTTATAAGTGAGAAAGGAATGGATTATACTCAGGCTGCCAGGGCATGCAGAGCCCTATGGGATAGTAAGGTTGTTTCTTATGTAAGTTGTGTTGGTACTCCAGCAGCATCACAGTATGCAAAGGCTCCTGTTACGATCTTTGGCAACCATAAAGAGACTCTCTCCACGAGTTTCCAGTGTCAGTCAGTATATGAGCTTCTGGAGGCCTGCAGAACAGAAAATAATAATTGAATTTGCACAGCCTGTACTAAGGAATTGCAAGCAGCTATTGCTCATACTGAGATAATGGGTGAACAAAAGTGGAGTTTGCACAGGACCAGAGCAGCAAAACTCAGGACTTCTGTGTTTGAATTCTTAGCAGCCCAGGCTAAGTAAGAGCTGAGACTTCAGCAGTCAGGCTCTTTTTGAAGTCCAGCGTATAAGTCTACACTTCTCTTAGCTGCCGTACACAAGCCATCTACTCTGCTACAGCAGCAGCATCTCAGTCTGCAAGAGCAGCACAATGATGTGAGAGAAGCAGAAAGAATACAAAAGGAAAAGGAATCAAAGCAGGAATAATTACACAACACCCTTACTCTTTTTTTTTCCCCTTTTTTTTTTTTTTTTTCTTTCTGTTTCCTTTATGTGTCATTTCCCCACTCTAGTGAAAGGACAGAAGATCTCAGAACTGAGACAGCCTTATTGGTGTGACCAGGATGGCAGCTTCCCCTGATTTTTTCAGCATCAGAATCAGATTATGATGAAATGAGCAGGATAGAAGTTCTTCAGTTCCCAGAAAGTTCCCTGAAGCCATAGCTTGGCCATAAACCAATATAAATACAAAAAGTAGTAAGCAACTTTAGGTGTAGGTGTGTACAGTCAACAGCTACAAGATCAGTAAATGTTCCAGTGAGAAGAAAATACTAAACATACATATCCCCTTCAAAGACAAATAAAATAAATATATTGCTGAGATAATCTCAAAGCACAAAAAGAAATCACAAGGGGGGCTGGAGGGAAGCAAGAACATTTTGCATTAATTCTGGTCCATGTCTTCTTTCAGATTTGTTTCTTCTGTCAGCCTCCTGGCACTGGGAGCTCACTCACACATTCCCAAGGGCAAGCTGAAGAGTTGCTCCATCCCACAATTGAGAAGAAGCCAAGAGGTGCTTCAGTAGTACAGGTGAGAGGGCTGCACTATCCTACTGGGACAGTCTCGCTCATAGAATCATAGAATCATAGAATGGTGAAGGTTGGAAGGGACCTTCAAGATCATCAGGTTCCAACCCCCCTGCTATAAGCAGGGACACCTCCCACCAGACCAGGCTGCACAAGCCTCATCC